CCTTCAGGCCATGGGCTTATACTCTATCCACTGAACCAAACTGGCTAGGGTACAAACATTTTAGTGATAGAGAAGATCTAGAAAAAAATTAGCTCCATGTTTAACTTTATTTGTAGTTTCTCTCCAAAATAATATTATTTTGAATATAGTGCACCCCCAAATTAGCAAGAATTTTGATTGAGATAATTAGATACAGTACGCAGAAAACAATTATGTGTTCTAGTCTTATTGTGACACATAGGAAAGAAACATGAAAAAAAAACACAGTGTTCCAATAAGAGAAAATAGTATGTGTTTGGAATTACTAATAATCCAGCTAATTTATTCATCCCCATTATTAGTATACGTCATTAAGTTATGATAGTTTTTAATTGCTTGATTCAAAACTTTTCTGGATGAATTGGAATGCAAAGAGTGTTGCCAAAATTGGAATTTTGAGTACTTCATTATTAATGAATTGTATTTCTACTATCTTCATTAAAATTGTACAAATAATTTGTGTAATATCAGATACAATTATAAAATTACATCTGTGATGAGTGCTATGAAGAAAAGTTGAGTGGTTCTTCGAAAATTTTTCATGTGGGATTTGTGTCTTAGGCGGTTCAAGTGAAGGCTTCTTTAATATGAGTGAAGAACCAAGGGACAGGGAATAGACTGTGCTAAGGCTCTGTGGCAGAAGGAGCTGAAAGCAGGGTAGAGTGACAGCAGCAGAGAAAGTGCAAGAAAATCATGATGTGAGCTGACATTAGAGAGGGGTGTGGTGGACCAACTGTGCCAGGTCCCAGGAGCCACTGAAAATCTGTAAGTGGGAACAATGGATTGGAAGGGGCCCAAGTGAATGTGGGTAGACCAGATAAGAGGTTAGTGCAGTTGTGAAAGTGAGACTAGGGCAGTGGTTGGCAAACTCATTAGTCAACAGAGCCAAATATCAACAGTACAACGATTGAAATTTCTTTTGAGAGCCAAATTTTTTAAACTTAAACTATATAGGTAGGTACATTGTTATTAACTTAATTAGGATACTCCTAAGCTGGCCTTTGCTAAAAACATCCTCAATCTGATTGAGGTACATTCGCTGAGGTCGACCCCTTCCAACTCTCCCATCCACACTCATCTTGTATACTTGTTTTGTCTGTCTCCTTTCCGAAAACCGACTTCTGCGCATGGGCCACAAAGTTTCAATTGCACTGTACATGCGCGCCCGCACATGGTATTTTGTGGAAGAGCCATACTCAAGGGGTCAAAGAGCCGCATGTGGCTCGCGAGCCACGGTTTTCCGACCACTGGACTAGGGTATTGCCAGAGAAAATGGAAATAAGAGTTAATGAGACCTTTTTAGGAAGTAAAATTAACAGTACTTGGCAATAGACTTGATGCAGGGGATGAGAGAAATTGAAGTATTATGGATGCTGTCTTTTGAGGTTTTTAAGTAAAGCAATAGAACAAAAACACCATGCATGGCGAAAGGTTTAAAATGCAGTTCTCACATAAGTCCAATGATTACTTATAGCAATGGAGAATAGGAGCAAATGCTTGTTATGCTTTATATGAACTGTTGGTAATGATTTGTGTGCCCCACTATGATGGTTCTTAAGACATTATATTTTCTGGTTTACATCTGTCTCCTTCACTACACTGTGAACTATACGAGGGCAGACATTAGGTCTTATTTACTCTCCTGCAGGCAATCAAGTTTCTGGCATAGCAGCTACTCAAATATTTGTAAAAGGAAATAATTAGGTCAAGAATCAAACTTTAAAATTCTCTATTTTCCAAGTTACTTCAGTATGGTTTTATATTCATAAACAAACACCCTTATATAAAATATGCCAAATCCAAAATTCCAAGTTAATAACTTTACTCATTTTAGCCATAAAACTAAATGTGGTTTTAGCCAAATATGGCTACATTACTGATAGATGAGTTTAACTGTTAGCCAGCTTTCAAATAATGCTAAACAACTACATGCTAGTATAGAATATAATCCCAAATTTACGTACAAGATACTGATTAATTAATCACCCAGCATAGTACTTTTTAGCGTGATGAAAAGATATATGGGATAAACTAATAGCAGTTTCTTGAACTTTACAGGTGCGTCAGGCCAATTACTTTTTTTTTTCATTCTAGTCAGCAGATGGCACTGTTTTACTTTATTTAGCTAAAAGAAATATCTCCTGAGCCCTTACCAGTGGTTCTCAACCTTGGCTGCACATTAGAATCATCTTTTTAAAATCCTGATTTCTGGGCCTGATTGAAATCAGGATTTTAAAAAGATTCCCAGGTGATTCTAATGTGCAGCCAAGGTTGAGAACCACTGCCTTAGACTCTTAGAATTCAGCCTCACTCTATTAAATAACACAGTATTTTTTGAGAGTTAACTTTATACTTTTTGAACTATACGTAAATATTATAGAATAGGGGCTGGTATAGATTTAAAATTTCATACATTTTTTTCGTCAACTTGAACTTAAAAATTTCTTTAATATTGTTTCTCATTTGGTTTATTGCAAACAATTGTTCTCATTTTTGTAAACAACAGGAAAGCCCAGCTTAGTTTACTTTGTTTTATGCTTTATTTTCGTGCAAGGTCAATGCTGAACAGTGCTGGAAATAACATTTAAATTCCATTTAAACTAATGTGGAATAGTTAAAAGTTTTATTGGGCTTCAGTTCCCCACCTATAAGAGTAACCCTTCAACTCTGAAGTTTTTGAACTTGAAAGTGAGTCAGGAGATCTGGGTTTTATTCAGAATGCCTTGAAATATACAGTGAGTGACCATAGCCATTTGAATTTGTCTTTTGCCCCGCTTTTTTGATGAGTGAAATGAATCTAGTCTGTACACTACTATATTTAACTTGTAAAAACATTGTCAAGATACTTATTTTAAAGGTCTGGACTCTTCAAAAAGAAATATGAAGGAATTGAAAATCAAGAAGTCCTTCAGACTTTAAGTAGAAATACAATTTATTAATAATGAAGTATTCAAAAAATCCTGTTTCTATAATAGTCATTAGGATGATGATGAGCAAAAGCAGACATTGTTGCTATTCAGTTTCCTTATGTCTTCGTGTTACTCTTCAAGATTTAAAGAAGCTTTAGCTTGTATTATTTACTTAAGTAAAAACACAAAAACAATAACCAAGCTACAACCTCCCCTGGCCTCCCAAAGAAACCCAAACCAAATGCTCAGTAGCTCCTTTGAATGTATTTATAAAAAGAACAAAAAACATTCTCTAATTGGAACTTTCTAAAAGCTTCTCTTCCCAATTAGAGTGCAGTGATGACTTTAAATGGCACTGTCTCGAGGACAGCTCATCAGTTAATTATATGGGGTTCTCTAAATTGAGGAGTGAAAAATGATACTAAATTTCAATCAGTGCAGATAAATATGGCTTGTCATTATTCACTTGATATTTTAGACAGTCCATCTAAAGAGGGAAGACATGGAGCAGAAATATTAATCTTTTCTTAAAGAACAGAGATTATGAGAATAACACTGAACATTTACCCAACACTATGTTCTTGACTGGAGTATGGTTTCTGTAGTCATTCAAACCCCGTGATCCCCGGAGACTTTCATTTGCTTGCCCAGTTTATTTTCCATCTGGCTCTTTCAAACAAGGAAAAACAATGTGGCATTTCTATTGTTGTACCTAATAGCCTGGGAAAATGGATGTGGATTTTAAATTGAGTAGTTATGTAATTTAAAATGTTGACTGAAGCTTCAATTTCTTCTAATTTTTGTGTTCCAGCATAATTTAGCACTCTGTATTCTGGTAATAAACATCTTAAAATTCTATAATTTACTTATACTTATTTCTGGGATAATTCTACCTGCCCAAGTTAAAATTATTTCCTATTTAGTCTTAAAGAAAATAATTGTTTAAATAGCAAATTGTCAATACATATTATTTATCTTAACAATTGCCCAATAGTGCTTTCTATTATCTAAAAATTTTCTTTCTTACTTTTGATATTTTTCATGATCCTTTTGTCTTCAGCTTTCTTCAAAGTTATGCTTTGCTTATTCATGTTCATAGAATTTTCAATCATGTTAAAAACAAATATGGATTTTATTATCACAAATATCCTCGTTATTCTCCACAATCACCTTTTTCATGATGTGTAAGCTGGGGACCAGGCTCTGCTTAGCAATAGCCCTTCATGTCTGCTCCTCTGTTCCCGGGGGAGTTTCTTGCACATGCTTCGATCCCTTTCCATCTGGCCTCTGCACAAAGGCTTTATCCCTAGCTAACACAATCCTTTGTTTTATGGAGGACCTCGAGTTTATCTGAGAGTGAATACATGTGAAACAATAATCATGTTGTGGGAGAACCTGGTCTGACCTTATTTTTATACCTGAACCCTAACATGACAGAGAAACTACACTTAGCTGGCAACAAAGACTGAAAAAGGTAAGAGCTGTAATGATGACAGATCTGAAACAGAGCTGCCCAAAGTAAAGGGCCTGATTCTCTGCATACTGTCAATAATTACATGCTTATGTTTATATGACTTTAGTAAAAAAAAAAAAAAAGCTTGCTACATTTTTGTGTATATCACTGAAAAACCTTTGTGAGATTTTCAGTTTGTAGGATATTAAGAAATGGCTGCATTTGTATATTGATCTACCCATGAACTTTATTGCAATATATTTCTTTCAGCAGAAAAATATTTATAAAGCGTTAATTTTAAAATATAGACTCCTGTTTTTTCAGTGTAAATAAAATCACAATAAGATTACTGAAACCTCATATTGAACTGAACATACTCCTTTTAAAATGCACGCTGGTCTGTGTTTAATAGAAGTCAACTGATTTTTCTCACCCACTTTGTATTCATTTTATCTTTTCTGCAAATATACAAATTTATAAGGCAGTACTTAGAATTTTGTGTTGATTTTGACCGTCGAAGCACATTTAAATGAAGAATAAACACTAAAAGGCCAAAAAGAAAACACACACACCCTACACCATAGAGGTGCTTTGTTTTTTATAATTTACTCCAAATGTATTATATAAAACTGTCTCCAGGACTTTATTTGGGTTTCAAAGTTTTAGAGGCTGATGCAGGCTGTTGGTTTCAAATTGAATTGCTGGTATTGAAAGACGGCACCTGAGATCTGGAAGGCATCTTGTGCGGATCAAAGACAAAGATCAGAACCCCCCCCCCCTGGGCCGCCCCCCCCCCCCAAAGTATATTCATCTTTTAAATGAAAATACTTTGTTTTGACATATTCTTTTCAAAGAGCTTTGAAACACCTTTCAGACTTAAACTTAAAATAATGACTCATTTTGACGTAGAATCTAAAACTACATTTTAAAATATTTCTCCCTATATATTTGGCTTGTTGAAGAAAATGATCTCGGAACACATTTAGTCATCTTATTCTGAAAGGGCAAGGTGTTTTTTGATAGCCACTGTCCCAAAGAAGCGTAAACTGTGGCCTCCCAACACACACACACACACACACACACACACACACACACACACACTTCACACAGTGCTCACATATCACACCCCCTGTGTTTGTCATCCGTGCTGAACCTTGTAGTCATCCATCGGTGAGTGAATGCTTACAAATGGGTCCAATTTGCCAAAGGCAAAGTGGCTGCATAGAAGGAACAGCAAGTGCAGCTTGCTTCATCGTTGTCAGAGGAAATTCACCAGCGTCTGCGGATTGCAGAGTCAGGGAAAGCAAAGTTAGAGCGAAGGACCACTTCCCCCCTCTGAGCCCGTGCGCTGCGCGGGGGTGACCTCACTGCTGACTCAGTTTGCCTCCGTGGCCAGCCCCGCAGCCGCCCCCAAAGGTCCACCGGATCGAGTGGGAACACGCCCCAGAGGGACACACCGGTGGTCCCTTCGTGGTCCTGGGGCTGCCCACGCGGGCCACCTGGGTCTGAACACCGTGTGTGTTCGGTCTGCAAAGCTAGAAACCATGCCCTTCCCAGGGAGGGAAGAAACCCCCGAGAATCCCGAGGCGGCCGGCTCAAGGTCACCGCGGGAAGGCGACGCCTGAGCCGGGGCTCCGCCGCCCCTCGGTCCA